ATGGGTATGTGACACTGGCGTGCCGACATTAAGGCACGAATGACAATAGAGCGAGCGCAATGACCCTAGGGCACAGCAACTCTACAACAGACTTCCAGCACTAATCGGAGAATCAGAAGGTTAGGAGCGATGATGATTGGGTACATGGATGTTAACAGATGTGTACACCATTTCAGTTGATTCAAAACTTGCCGCATAAAATACTTTTTTATCAAAAAACAAATGATTTGTATCGCATCAGAGCTGTTTTTCAGCCAACGCAGAGCCTAATGTCGCGTGCCGAGCATCTGATAATCCTTCGCATCGTTTCTAATTTGGAAATCCGAAAGAGCGCCTTATATCGTACGTTGCAGCAGCAGCAGCAAGCCAACATTTCTCAAAAGCTTTCCCTGCGTCGTCTTGCACACTTCACGTAATGTAGTGTCTAGTTTTCTTCGTTCTTTCATCTTTAAATGCTTCAAGTTGTTTCATAATGGTTTTCGATTATTCTTTGGCTGAAGATTATCTGTTAAATATAATCTAAAGCTTTTAGTACTCTTTTTCTCCATCATGAAAAAATTCATATAATTTCATCATAAACATGAATGTCTGGCTTACGCTACCATTGTACCGTTTTCACCATGCGGAAATGCGATAACTATTGAAGCCTGATTATTTCGAAGAGACGAGACTATTCCGATTGCATTCATTTATGGAGAAACCTCTATAAAAATGTATTTTTTACTAGCAGTGTTCTTTAACATTCTTCAAGAAGAAAAATATGCAACAAGAAAGCCGCTAGAATCGTTTGATAATATATAACTGGATATCACTAATCGTCGTCCTATTATTTGTCATTGTTCCAGTTTTTAATCGAATATACAATGCTTTATATGGAATTTGAAATGGATCTGAAAAACGGAGAAATTATCTAGAGCAACAAGAAAAAGGAAGAATATAGACAGTACCCATGATAATCATTCATACCTTTGCTTTGTATGATATTATGATTTTTATCCAGAAATTCAGTGTTAACACTAATTGTGCCCGTGATGACTTTAACTTCTAATACGGCATCATTTTGAATTAATTTTAAATAATGTGATGGTATACTAACTGTTTGTGTAATACTATCACGTCCGAAATAAGAACAATTTGTTATTCTTGTACCATTCAATAGCCATTTTGAACAATTAATGAAATTTTTGTACTGCAATACCGTGCCGTTTGGTAATATTGCACCATCAAATGCATTTGTGATTAGATCAATACTC